TAGGGAATACATGAGTGCCCATAGAGAATAATGGAGAGTAGCCTTGCCCAGAGGGGATAGGGCAGTACATAATTGCCAAAAGAGAATTCATAATTGCCACTAGAGAATCCATGACTGCCCATAAGGATTAATGGAGAGGTCGCTTGCCCATAGGGGATAATGGAGTACATAATTGCCAATAGAGAATCCATAATGCCAATAGAGAATCCATGACTGCCCATAAGGAATAATGGAGAGGACGCTTGCCCATAGGGGATAATGGAGTACATAATTGCCAACACAGAATCCATGATTGCTCATAGGGACATAACTGCCAACAGAGAAGCCATGATTGCACATAAGCAATATTGCTCAGAGGTCAGTCCTGCTCCCCCAGCTCTTGCTGACAGCTGCAGCGGAGGCGGGGCTCGAAACATTCTCCCGCCTCCCTCAGCCCTGGGGTGGTGGCCTTGGACTCCTAGGGGCAAATTCCACCTCTCGCCTGTGATGGCCGAGCTGCAACGTTTTAGTACCTCCCCTGCCAGTTTGGTGCAGTGGTTAAGTGTGCAGACTCTAATCTAGGAGAACCGGGTTTGATTCCCCACTCCTCCACTTGCACCTGCTGATGTGACCTTGGGTCAGTCACAAGTTCTGGCACAGCTGTCCTTGAAAAAGAGCAGTTCTGTCAAGAGTTCTCTCAGCCCCACCCACCTCACAGGGAGGGGAAGGGAAAGGAGTTTGTAAGCCGCTCTGAGACTCCAAGTGAAGGGCTGAAGGGCAGGGTATAAATCCAATCTCTTCTCTTCTTCTTCTTCTCTCTAATGGTCCGTCTAGCTCCCAGGTATTTCTGAAGAAAATGTTGAGAGTAACAGTTCCGATATATTTTCCCTACGTAAACTGCCCCGCAATCCGATCATAAATTATGTCGATCTGAACGTGTAATCTCACTGTATGCGAAAGTACATCCTAGAATATTCAATATCGCTTGGATCGATGCAAACTTCAATCCAGTCATTTCTCTACTCTTCCCTTTTGCCGATGTATACGTTTAAATAAAACCTGCGCTTGTGATTGGAGGGCTGGATGAACGTGCGCTCGCGGTAGAAGAAGGCGGAGCAAAACTAAAGGACGGCTAGTTTTAAACGCGGTCGGTTAGATCTCTGTCATTTGTGCATGAGGATTGGAAAGGGCGAGGATTGGCCGTCAGTCAGCAGGCGCTGCGTCCGGATTGGCTGCAGGGCCGCGTTTGAACGGTGTAGCGGCGGTTTTTTTACCGTGTGAAGGCGTTTGTTTGTGGGGATTTGTCTCTGTCGGTGAGTGACTTGGGGGCGAGTCCGGGGCTGGGCTTCGCAGCTCCCCCTTCATAGGACTCCATGGCTGTGGAGAGGCGACGTACAGAAGCGACCGTCCCCCGGGAGCAGCTGAGTCCCTCCGGGCGGCGGCGCTGGGCGCTCAAGGCAGGCGAGATGGAAGAGGAGGGCGACGATACGGACCCCGCGGTGCTGACGCTCAGCCACTTCACGCGGCCTCCCTTCCTTACTTTCGGCACCGTCCGCATCGGGACCTCGCGCTCTCGTCGCCTGGCCCTGGAGAACCCCGGTGACGAGCCCGTCCTCTTGGCCCTGTGCCGCCCTCCGCCCGCCCCGAAAGGCTTCGCCGTGGAGCAGCTCAGCTGTCTCCTGCAGGTACTGGATGGGGGGGAGAGGGGCGCTTCGCTTCTTGACGTCCAGGCAAAACGTGTCGCGAGCGGAGCAGCGGGGTGGGTTTATGGTCTCACTGCGGATGGGCGTCTCGTTTTGCAGGTCCGCACGGCGCCCGTAACTCCCTGTCTGATGCCTTGTTCTTTCCCGTTGCAGCCCAGAGAACGCGTGTTCTGTTCGATAGTATGGACACCAATGGAAGAGGGCAGAGTACGGGAGCTCGTAACGTTTGTTGTGAATGATATTATTAAGCATCAAGCGGTTTTGCTGGGCAGCGCCGAGCAACCCGCGAAGAGGAAGGTGAGCCAGTACAACAGCAGCTAGGGATGTCAGCATCAAGGTTGGGACCTGTGGATCCTCTGGCATTACAGCTCGACTCTAGACGGCAGAGAGCAGCTCCCCTGTAGAAAACGGGTGCTTTGGAGGGTGGACTTTTTGGCACTGTACTCCACTGAGATCCCTCTCCTCCCCAGGCCTCATCCCCAAATCTCCAGCAATTTCCCAACCTGGATCTGGCAGCCCTACTCCCCCATCCCCTGCTAGTGGGGACCTGGAAAACCCGACTTATTTTGCCTTTTGGTATCTGGTATCCCTGAAGTGATTGTTTTATTTGTTTTATTCACAGCAAGGCTTTGCTCAGGCTTTGGCTTACAGAGTGTTCATTTGATTATATACAGTTCTGTATTCTCTGGAGAACTGCTTTCTGTAACCTATTGGTAGGAAATGTGCAAGAGCCAAATTCTTTGATAATATTTAGTTAGGGTCTGAGAGTGGCTTCTTGAAAGTCCCAAAGCTCCTGCCCGCCTAACTCGCTGATGTACTTCCCTTGATCTTAACCTTGATTTTTCAAAGTATGTAGTGACTAAATTAACACTGATTATTGCCTGTTTGGTGTTTACTGTCGCAGATTCAACTTTGCTGTATTTTACTCATTGTGGTTGTATCCGTATTGAGGTCCCGTGAATTGCAAAAATATTGTTCAGCGTTGCAAAGTTATACACTACAGGCTATTTGTGTATGTTAAGAGAGAGTAAGTGCCAAAGAACTGTTTGGGTCTATTGATATATGTACATTAATTGCTGCTTATGTGTTTGTCACTTTCAGAGAAGCCTTTGGGAAGCAATGAAAAAGAGACCTCTAGCACAGCAACCACAGTATAAGAAAAGACAGTCCAGCATTAAAAATGTGAACAAAACTTTTCAAATACCCCCCAAAACAGATAGAGTTAGAAGTCCTCTACAGTGCTGCGAAAATTTGGAAGAGAGCAGATGTAGTAGTTCACCTAAAGGAGATTCCCTGATCATTTTAGAAACGAAAGTGTCTCTGTCTCCTATTAGTCCCATCCTGCAAGAAAACCAGAATGTTACTTGCACCCCCCTATCAGTGAGGAGATCAACTACGTATTCAGTTCTTGAGACAGTTGACTGTGATGCTTTATCAAAGGGTATAAAAGAGACCTTTACTCTTATGCCAATGTGTGATTATCTTTTGGAAACAAAATTGGAAAATGCACATATTGTTCAGCCTGCGGAAACACAGAACACAAATACAAGCTCATTTGGCACCCCAGAGCATCTGAGAAAGCCGTATATTACTTCAGACGACAAAAGAACTTTAAGTCTGGATTCCTTGCCTGCACTGGAAGGTTCTGTGCCAATTCTCTCACCTGATCAGTTTTTAAAAGACAACCAAATAGTTATTGAGCCAGCTTCACAAGTATGTAAACCTGTGTTGCCTTCAAGCTTGGGACCTTGTATGTCAAGGTCTTTTCCCCCTAAACAGGAGAAAGAAATGCTGCCAACTGTAACTTTTTCAGCTGAACCTCATTTTCAAAACAGAGCCTTTAACGCTGCAAGTGAGGGAGAACTAGCAGTATTTCACTATGACAAATGTGAACAAAATCTCAGTTTTCCGGCTCACACAGCCAAGCATCAGATGCACCAGTTCCAGAAAAAAGAACCTCCCAAACGGCCTCTGCTTTCCAGTACTGTTATCAAAAGTAAGCAAGGTCCCCTTGAAGGAAAAGGAGCACAGATGCCAGAATCAAAATCTAGAAAATGCCTTTCAAATGCTATACAGCAGTGTGTGGATAAGGTTCCTGAAGACAGAAAAATAGAAAGGCTGCCATATCTTCCTGTTATAGAATCCTTGTCAGGTGGAGTTGATAGCCACAGAGCTGAAAAACCTGCTTCTTCAGAATCACCTTCACGTAATCGTAAAAGAAAAAGCAGAGAATTTTTGGAAGAGATTAACAGTGAAAGTAAAGAATATATGGATAATTTTGAGACCAAAAAATTCTCAGTTTCCTGTGAGTTAAATGTGAAGCAAACAGATTTGAAAACATCAGTTCCCAAATCAGCAAACAAAGAGAAACAAAGTCAGAAAAAGCGAGTTGGTAATTTAACGTTTTTCCCCCTTTTTTATTAAAATGCCAGTCTAAAGGAATACATTCTCCTTTGCCAGAATTAAGTGTGTGACACCTAAAATGCATAGCATTTAATGCAGCACTGTAGTATGGTACGTTATTTCATAATCACTCAAGTATAGGGTTTTATCTCTCAGATAGCAGCATTCATGTCTGTTTGAGAACAACAGAAGCATTTTCAAGTTAAACTCAAAACGGAGTGAAATGTGTTACAATTAAGCACAGTTCCAACTGTAAAAATTACTCTATGAATTCCACAGAATCCATTCTGTTGCCTGTGTTCTTTAGCAGAGAGATACCATCAATGATACATTGATATCCAGCTATGCATCTTTTTCAGGTGTAGGTGTAGCAGTGAAGATCTAAATTGGTCAGTGTAATCAGTAATTGACAAATAATTATCATAGTGGACGATAGATTGATTAGCTGAAGCAATTCCTGTCCTGGTTGGGTTGATATCTAAGAAATCAAGTTTGAAGCTTGGCACTGCTCTTGGACCCAACCTTGTTTTTCCAAGACAGCAGCTTCAATCTGGACTTCCTTTTATCAGCGCTGGCTCTGCTGAACAGAGTTTTCACTTACCATTGATATCTTAATGGCAATCTGATTAGGGCCAGGGCTGTTCCTGTACTGAAGTCAGGCACATGTCTGCTTGAAACGTATGTATGTGTAAGTAGTCCTACTCAATGAATCCCATGTGCATAAATTGGCCTCAGAAACCCTCAGTGTCACTTCAGATTTCTCCATAGTGTTACACCGGTGTGTGTTGGGGGATGCTATCACTTCCGGGTCCACACTGGCTATACCTATGGAGTTTGTGAGCATGTTTATATAATAGCGGAATAGTGAATCGATTTGTGCTGATCAATAGTATGACTGTTGTCCTTCACTGTTTTCTACTATTCTGGGCAATAATCTTGTTTGTTTTAATTTTCAGGTTTCTTATCTCAGAAATCAAGGACTGCTAGAAAAACTTCTAAAAACTTAGTTCCAGTTGCACAGTCTCAGCTGACCTTTGTGAAACCATTAAAAACAGGTAGAAATACATTCCTGTTCCTTTTTCTTCTCAATGGAAAAGAAAGGCTTCTTCGTAGTTAACATTTCTTCTCCCCTCTTAAAAATGTAAAATTTCCTGAAATTTTGAAATGACAGGTTTTGGGGGTGAGGAGGTGATTAGAAATTTTAGGGGAGGAAATTGCAAAACATGTTTTTTTTTAAATCCGCTATAAACTTGTTTTGCTGACATAGAACGTAGCAACACGTAAGGACATGGAGGAGGAGAGAGTGATGTAAGCAGTATTGGGTCCCTTTTGGAGGGAAAAGCAGAGTATAAATGAATTATATAAAATAGATGTACAGTTGGTTTATTATAATTAAAAGTATATTTAATTATATTTATAATTAAAAGTGTCTTAGGTTGTATCAGGTGGAATAAAAGGAAAAATAAGAGTTAAAAATAGGAACTATCAAGATTGTGGTAAGGAAATAAACTTTTTGTCATATGGACATGGAATTAGTATCTTTTCTGTATGGCCAGTGTTATCCAGAAACAATACAAAACTTGCAATAGTTGTTTACCAGAGTGGTAGTGGTTAGTACCACAATCCTTCTTTCAGCCTGCATCCAGATCTCTGTCTCTAAAAGTCTAACAGATCACACTAGTAGAAGCTATCAATAAATTTGGATATTGAGTTATAATTAGAATCACATTGTTTGGGATCCAAGTCATCTGCAAACACAACAAGTTTATTTAAGAGATTTTTGCCAGCTTCTCCTCAGCTATACATCTTTGAAAAGCTGCAGTTATAAATGGATGGGAGGCTCTCCAGAAACATGTGTGTCCCAGGGGTGTGGGTGTGGGTGTGGCTGCAGCAAGGATTGGCAGAAATTCAGAAAAGTCAAGGTGTTTTGGACGAGAATGAATACTTATGCATGGGTTTGGGTGTGAACAACTAAGATGGATGGGTTAAGGAGAGTCAGTGTGAAAATGAGCTACTCTTGGCCATGTTGTGGTATGAACCTGAAGGACAGTGGTGCCCTAGGGAAAAATGAAGAATATGGAATTAAAGAGGGCTTTGACTCTGATGCCACATGTGTTAGAGGACTTTTGTCTTTTTAAAACTTACAGTGTGTTTGCTAATCGATGGCATTGGTGGGAGGTGGATTGTAACTAGCTTTGCTGCTGATCTTGCAGATTCAGTTAAATTGTGGAACTGGCTCTTCGATCCTGAAACGGGGGACATAGGATTTTTTGTACAATTAAGAGCCATGCAAAATCATGGTCTCAAGTTGCAGACACACCTGTGTCTATACACTTGGTACATGTACAGGGCCAATTCTGATGGGCAGCTGAATCCACATAGGTTGGGGCAAAGCTTGTTTCCATGATCTTGTTCCCCCAAAATAAGCATAAGCTTATTCAGTATCTGCACACTGAATGTGTGCATAGACCTCCAGATTGTCCGTTGATTGTGTTGCATTTGCTGCTGTTAGTTGCAGTTTCCATTTAGTTAAATACTTTGATGCTATTTGTTTAGCAATAAGAGATCCTTAAGGGGGCATGTCTTAGCATGTCAGAGAGAATTTTTTAATAGATATGACAATTCTTTTGCAAGGTCTCCCTAGGCATCCGATGCCTTATGTGGCAAAGAACATGTTTTATGATGAGCGCTGGAAAGAGAAACAGCAGCGAGGTTTTACTTGGTGGTTGAATTTTGTACTTACGCCTGATGACTTTACCGTGAAAACAGACACCTCACATGGTAAATAAGCTCCAGAGCTTTCAGTATTTCAGAAAGCTTGCATTTATGTCCAAGGATTTGTGCTAAATTGCTACAATATAGTATCTACATTATAAACCTGTCTAGAATATGATGTACTATTTCATTTAAACTAGCCTCCATATGTGTAGATGTGTTTTAATCTGAAAGATTAAATTGCCCTGTAAAATATTAGGATCAATTGGAGCAGCACTTACGCTTTTATACAACCCTAACTTATTTAAAAAGTCTAATTTATAATGTTTATTCTATGGCAACAATTATTGTAACTGTTCCATAGTCTACTTCAATCTTTTATGTTCTATACGACTACTGTGTAATCTTTTAGGGCTACCCCTTCTCAGGGCAATTGCAGGGCATCTATTCTGTGCAATTTATGAACGTTAAGAAATTGTCCAGAGTTATTTATGAACATTAAGAATTGTCCAGAGTTAAAGCCTTGCACTTGAATATTTAATTGTCAGGAAGGCAAATTAATTAATGATAGCTGAATAGTAATTTAGGTTTTCATAATAATACAACTAGGTCTCACTTATTTGAAATGTAATTCCTTGTTATGTAGTATAACTAGAATCCATCTGACTGGATTTCCTGTGGTATCTTGCACTGAGCTTTTGTGAGTCTATATGACATAAGATTTTATGGAGGTATAGAATGCCCTTTAAAATGTGAAATAATAAGGCAGCCATACTTACAGTTTGAAGGGGGTCAAGAGCCTGTTTAGTCAGTTTTTGTCAGAATAGAATAATCCAGACATGTATCTTCATCATCTAGGTGAAAGTGTACATGCCTCTGGTAGATACAGTTATAAAAACTATCTGCAAAGCAGGTGGCTATAGATAATTCAGGCCAATGGGTCCAACTTCTATTTCTACAGGAAAGCATCCTCTTAATGCAGGAACTTAACATGTTATCCTTTTTCCTTCATCAGTCAATGCAGCATCACTTATTTTGGGAATAGAATCTCATCATAAATCCAGTGTTTCAAAAGCACCGACGAAAGAGGAAGTTTCATTAAGAGCGTATTCTGCTCGGTGTAAATTGAACAAACTCCGTCGCTCAGCGTGCCATTTGTTTACTTGCAACGCAATGGTTAAAGCAATAAAAAGGCTGGAGGTTGAAATTGAAGCCAAACGCTTGCTAGTTCGGAAGGACCGACATCTGTGGAAGGATATTGGTGAGAATGTAATGTTCTAGATCTAGATTTTTATTTAGATATATAATTGACATTAACCTTCTGTAGAAAAAGTGGCAAGTATTTTTGTGCCCATTTTTATAGCTTTAAAATAATTTGATACTATGCTTACATGAATGACCCAGGCTAGCCTGTTCTCATCAGGTCTTGGAAGCTAAGCTGGGTCAGCCCTGGTTAGTATTTGGACGGGAGACCACTAAGGAAGTCCAGAGTTGCTACATGATACCGGACCTCCTCTAAGGACGGTTCCGAATGCCCGACTCTGCCTTATGTATGACAGTGGGCGCAGCGTGAGTAATTTTCCCGTGTATACAGAGGGCGGATTGGACAACGAACGCTCCTATTTCCCAGGAAGTGAGACAACACACTAGGTTTAATGAATAAATGTTGCCTTTTTACTAAGCAGTTCTCAAGCATACGAAAAACAGATACACACGCAGATTCACACAAGTTCCTTAGTTACAATAGTATATAGAAAGCAATCAGCATGAAAAGCAATAAATCCAACAGACAAGGGGATAACACAACAGGATATCGCTTATACTTATCTGAGGTCCAAGCTGAGAAGAAATCTCCTCGTAGATGGAATGGGGAAACTTAAGTATCAGCGGATGGAATTCTAAAGCACACGCGGACTAGTCCAGCCAGCCTCGTGCGGGTTCACGTGTCGTGACTCCCGAGAACACAGTAAGAATCACCTGCAGTACTTAAGTTGCAAGGTGGGGAAGGGATGGGTTAACCAGAGAAACAAAGGCTGTGTTTCTCTTTTTAAAAGCTTGTTTTTGGGCTTGGCTTAAGGCCAATAAACCCCTAGAAAACCGTCCCCTTTACTATGCTATAGGTTAGAAGGGTTGTGACGTCCTAGTTGATGGGAAGGGTGCAATATTCAAATGATCTGCCCTAACTTCAAAGGGGAGCCATGTGGCCAGGTGTCAAATTGTTGTCTCCATAGTAACTTTTGACTTGCAGAGATGTGCCTGGTCCAGGAGGCAATAAAGAATGTGTTCTTTGTGATGCCAAACCAGATAGGAAGATGGGTTACGTGGTTTCCCACAGATCAGCAATGGTGGGGAAACCTGTTGTTCTGCCAAGTTTCCAAACTGAGCGTAATGGCATTTGTCGTCTCTGTCCTGAAGCACGCTGGGAAAGTGCAGGGAAGCACGTGTTCTGTAGCACAAGCCTTGCTCACCCAAACGCAAGCATGAGATGCCAAGCAAGCCATACAAACACACAGCAATCCCCTTATCCCATAGGCACAGATGTACAGACTATTAACAGACATAGCATCAGCACAGTACAGACAATGCAGTTACAAGCACACATGGTAACATTTACAGAGGCAAGCAATGGCAAACCACCTCTGACTGTCTCTTGCCTTAAAAGCCCAGAAGTGTCACTTTAAGTCAGCTGTGACTTGACAGCACTTTCCACCATCACAGTTGCATCTTAAATAGTTTTTATTTAACTGTGAAAATTAAGGGTTTATTATGGTTACCAGTTTGCTTTTTTCCCTGTTTTGTAGGTCAACGGCAGAAAGTCCTCAACTGGCTTTTATGCTACAATCCACTCTGGCTGCGCATAGGCTTGGAGGTAAATTTGTACTCTTCCAAAGTTTAAAGAGTATTCTGGGCAGCATAGTATATGAACCAGCACTCTTGTAGAGACTGTCTGAGATTGGTCCTGGAATGGATTATTCAGGGCCAAAATGCTCTGTGAACCTAAACTTGGCTGATGTGATCTGTTCTTTCTAGCCTGGATTGGGTGGAGTGGAGTTTGATGGGCAAGTACCTGCTGTTGCCAGGTCCTGCAGGCCCACTGAACAGACGCTCATTCACTGATTGCATAACCTTCTCTACATTCCTTCCACATTCTGTAGTCTCCACCTTTTCCCTATGTGTCTTGACAGTTGTTAACCAAATATTAAGTAACGATAATATGCTTCTGTCACATCAAGTTAAAGTGCAGTTCCCTCTTCCTTTCTCATTCATTTTTTTAGCAGCTGGTGAGCCATTGCTACCTTCTGTCTTCCCAGCACCAGCTGGTACTCAGCATGCAATCCACCTCTGATGCATCACTGCCACTTCTAGCCTGGGTGGAACCAGGGGGCAGGGATGCAGACAGCAGTGGTGGCTCACATGCAAGTACTGGAAAGAAGCTGCAGCCTCACCTCTCCACAGCACCAGCTTGTGCTGAACATGTGAGCTTCCTTCAACTCCTCCTCCCCCTCTGTTTGCCTACCTCACCCACCTCACAGGGTTTCGGTTGTGGGGAGGGGAAGGGAAAGGAGTTTGTAAGCCGTTCTGAGACACCTTTGGGTAGTGAAGGGCGGGGTATAAATCCAATCTCTTCTCTTCTATCAGTATAGCTGCCACCTCTTGACCACAAGGGAGTGTCAGTGTGTGTCCCCTGTCCCTTCCACTCCAGAAAGCATAGACTAGAAGAATTGTGCATGATGCATCAGGTCACATGCTGGATTACCAACTGGTGCCCTTCCAGGGAAAGATCACGGCCTGATTGATTCTCAAGGCCAGACAGCATGTATTACTTTCAAAGTGGCCAACTACACCACAAGCGTTTACAGAGATTGTAGAGTATTATGTGTATGGATTGCAGAAGCACTTTGGTAAGATACCGTGAATCACTGGGAATAGTCTTGGGGTGATGCGCTTTGGATTGCAGAAGCACTTTGGTAAGATACCTTCTTACCAAAAGGTAAGATACCTTCTCATGCTTGATGCAGAGGTAGCAAACGAGTTCAGTTTAGATTCATAGTTGGCTGGGTAAGAAAATTAAGAACAGAGCATTAGAATGAAACTGCTTAACTGTTGGACGTGAGTGAAAATGTATGATCACTATGTTTGGAAATTGGATTCAGTTATTGTTAGCTTTAATATACAATAAGTTTTTCTCTTAGCTTCTATGGTTAAGGCTCAGATCCTTAAGCAGCTAACAACAACTGAATCCAATGTCATAGATATCTGTTTTTTATAAGTGTGTTCCAACTGTGGAAGAGCTGGATTCTGTTGGTCCAAGGCAGTTATTTGTATAAAAACTATTTGCCCCATTTTAACAGACTGTCTATGGTGAACTGATAGCCTTGGAGAATAATAGTGATGTAACGGGTTTGGCAGTGTTTATACTCACCCGGTTGTTGTGGAACCCAGATATTGCTGCTGAATATAGGCACCCAACTGTGCCTCACCTTTATCGAGAGGGTAACTATTTTTTCTTTTCACCTTTTAAAATTTGGTTTCTGGTTGGAAGTGCATCTTTTAATAAAATTAATGCTGTATTTGTAGGTCACGAAGAAGCGCTGTCCAAATTTACACTGAAAAAACTACTTCTGCTAGTTTATTTTCTTGATCATGCCAAAGCATCCAGAATTATTGATCATGACCCCTGCCTCTTCTGCAAAAATGCAGAATTTAAGGTACTAAGATTAAGCCTTTGATTTTTGGAGGTGTGTTCATAATTCTAATGTTTTGTGCCTTCCAGAATTTGTATAATAATTTCAAGATTTACTTTCCTTATGTGGGCAATATTTTCTCATATGGTATAGGGTGAGAATAGAAATTAAGTGCTGAAGTTCCAGAAAGCCGAAACAGTCCTTATTTTCCAAACAACAGAGGAGCTAGTCTCTCCTTGCCACATACAGCTCCATTTATATAGGAGGATTTATTTTCCTAATTTCCAGTAACATTTGAAGCGGTTCATATGTGATTTATGTGAAAATGTTTGAAGCGGTTCATATGTGAAAATGTCGAGACAGTGTGTGACTGCAATAAAAAAGGCCAATGCTATGCTGGGGATTATTAGGAAGGGTATTGAAAACAGATCAGCCAATATCATAATGCCCCTATATAAATCAATGTTGCAACCTCATTTGGAATACTGTGTGCAGTTCTGGTCACCACACCTTAAAAAGGATATTATAGCTTTGGGAAAAGTGCAGAAAAGGGCAACTCGAATGATAAAAGGGTTGGAACACTTTCCCTATGAGGAAAGGTTAAGGCGCTTAGGGCTCTTTAGCTTGGAGAAACGACAACTGAGGGGTGACATGATTGAGGTTTATAAGATTATGCATGGGAAAGAGCAGGTAGAGAAAGAGGTACTTTTCTCCCTTTCTCACAATACAAGAACTCGTGGGCACTCCATGAAATTGCTGAGTGGTTGGGTTAGAACGGATAAAAGGAAGTACTTCTTCACCCAAAGAGGTGGTGGTGGCTACAAGCATGGACGGCTTCAAAAGGGAATTAGATAAGCATATGGAGCAGAGGTCCATCAGTGGCTATTAGCCACAAGGTATAGATGGGGACTCTGAGGCAAGTGATGCTCTACAGAGTGTTGGACTGGATGGGCCTTTGGCCTGATCCAACATTGGCATCTCTTATGTTCTTATATTGTCCTGCAATGAATAAGTGCCTGCTTGTAAGAATTATGTTTTTTGTTTGTTGTATTTTGCTTTCCAAATGCAAGTGGGAAACCTTGATTTGTACATAATTTTGTTGAGTCTTCCAGTAATTTGTACAAATTGGTTATACTTGTAGCAATTAAAAACAACAACAACCCTCTACAACATGTAAACGTTACATGATTGCCGGTAGCAATGTAGAGCATCCTAGTCTTTTTTTCTTGTATAGTGTAGGATTGTTGACAAAAATTGTCAGGCTGTGCCAAGTACGCTAGGCTATTTTGCCACAGCTTCTCATTGTATGCCAATTAGTTGAGCATACTAATCTGTTTTATTGGTGGTGAAGTTTTACCATTTCATGGGAAATACCTTGTAGTTAGAAATCTTGATTTAATTATCATGATCAGATTCAAAAGTGGAGGTATTTCTTGCTTACCAATGTATGTATAACATCTAATTTCTTTCTTTACTGTAGTCCAGCAGAGAGATATTATTGGCATTTTCCCGAGATTTTTTAAGCGGAGAAGGTGACCTTTCTCGTCACCTTGGCTTCTTGGGCTTACCAGTGAATCATGTGCAGACGCCACTTGATGAATTTGACTTTGCAGTAGTAAATCTAGCCACAGATTTGCAGTGCGGCATTCGTCTTGTGTAAGTTGTTGACTTTTGGTTTTCCTGTGTTACAAAAGAGTTGTGCTTGAAGAAAGTTCCGTTTCACATGAAACCCTTGTATTTTCAGAAGAACATTGGAACTTCTCTCAAAAAACTGGAGTCTTTCAAAGAAGTTAAGAGTTCCAGCAATAAGCAGACTTCAGAAGATGCATAATGTTAATATTGCCCTTCAGGTATTAAAAGATCATGGAATTCAGTTGAAAGATGAATATGGTAAGAGTTGAAATGTTGTACACGGATGAGTATTTATAAAACATAAATGTGTGGATGCTACTAATCATTAACCAGTTTATTTGATTTTATAGGTTCAGGAATTGATGCCAAGGATATTGTAGACCGGCATAGGGAGAAAACACTGGCATTGCTGTGGAAAACAGTGTTTGCTTTTCAGGTACTGCCTAGATAGAATATGAGTAGTTTATGGCATATGAGTATGTGTAGCTGACTTTTCTACCAAACTTCAGCATGGTTCACAGGATGTCATATAAAGCCGTTTGTCCGTGGAACCCAGTACTAGTGTCATAATTAAAGTATTTGTTCCCTAACCAGTTTGCTAAGAAATTTAATATGCAGTGTATGACTTATGGCAAATCATAGAGGTTTGACTGAATATTAGGCGCTAAACTTATTTTAATAACCAGTTACAGTTGGTACAGCCACAGAATGCCACAATTACTTGAAGAAAGATAAATTTAAGCTTGTGTATACAATATGTACTGGTGCAAAAAAGTTCTTATTTGTGTATTGGATTAGGAAGCAAACAGTTTCCACTTCTTTCTATTTAATCCAAATCAAATTGGTTAGGTCTGTTACCCAAAGCTTCCACAACATTTCTATTTTTCTTGGAACACTCCATTTTCCATATCCCAGCGGTCTCAATTTTTACCAGCATTGCTGCATTTAAAAACTGTTCTTATATCAGGGGATAATGTTGGTAGTCTCAGGACCTAGAAAAAAAGGCTAGGTATACTGTATCCTGTAATTTTTCTGTTGCAGATTTAATGTAAAAAACCATGTATTGGTCACTTGGCAGGCTTATAGAGGACCTAATTCTAACATTGCTAAATACAAGGAACAAATACTTAGTAACTTCTGAAAATAACATTCTTTACCAATTTATGTATACAGTACTACAGTTTAATCTTTATCTTTAACAATGCATTTTTTTGTGATTAGGTGAACGTTTTCCTTGATCTGCATCAGTTAAAATACGAAATAGATTTTTTAAAGACCTTGCATGACACACAAGTAAAGAGGGGTGCGCTGGAATCTTCTGTTACCCTCAAAGTGAGAAAAGACAGCAGTAGCTTTTATTTATCTGAAAGCTGCAGTGAAAATGTAAAGCTGTTGATGGAGTGGGTGAATGCTGTCTGTATGTTTTATGGCCTCCAGGTAAATATTTTGTTTCTCTAAACTTTATTTTATGCCATCTCTCTATTTATTCTCCTGTTTGGTTAGTTGACTGGCAGAGGCTGAGATTTAAGGGCACATCTTTTCCAGATTATTTTAGTTACACTGTTGTAGGAGATGAAACAAAAAATACTAAAAATAAAGTAAATCAACACTAACTATTGTCTTCATCACCTAGTTTGGTTGGAACTTTCACAGCTAAATTGGGATGACTGCACCTTGTCATTGTGGAAAGAAATTTATCTTATCCATATACTGTCTTAGAAAGAGTAGAGGTACTGTTTACTTAAAGGAAATACTTGGGATTAGCAGTTGTCCGTATTTCATAAGAACCCATTGATAGTTCTGCATGTATAGAGTTGCAGGCTTATGAAAATCTTAGAACTAATAGATTCTGTAGGTGTGTTTTTGGTTTGATTATTGACATGACAAGGAGACTTCACATAATGGAGAACAGTAATACTCTTGTGGTGAGCAAAGGAAGCAAACTTCCATTGAAAGGACATAGCTGAGTGATAGTACAGTAAAAACTTAATTTTCCAGCACTAATGGGGAATGCGAGTTTCTTTTAATCAAACACATCAGATACCCTTACCATTTTGTCCCATGCCCTACCCAGAGGAATCCTCAGCAACTAAACCCCCACCCTACTGAGAATGCCATGGCAACAGCCCTCAAGCCTTTTGGAACCCTGAGCCCATGGATCCATCCTACAGAGCAGGCAGACAAGTGGGTCAGCTTCTTGAGAGCCCTCTAGTAAAGCTGGCGAACAACAAGAGGCAGGCTGGGAGGGATAGGAGGCACCTGAGGATGACATCAGCAGGCAGCACCAGCTGTCAGAAGCCCAGCAATGGCTGGAGGCATCAGGCGAGATGGGGCAGTGGGGCTCATGTGTGCCCAGTGATGGGAGGGATTTGGAGGCTGAGGGGGAGAAGCTTGCCCTCTGGGCAATGCTGGTCAACTGAGTGTTCCAGATAATCAAGGAACAGATAACAAAACTTTCTTTTTCACTTTGGCTACATTGTTAACACTTCTTAGTGATTTATATGCAGAATTGTGTGTCAAGAGAACTTGATGTTCCCAAACTTGTCCATTAGACTTGGCAAGTTTTGTTGCAGCCAGCTTGCTACAGGATAGATACCAAATACACTAAATAAAACCTAACCTGGATTTTTGTCATGGTCCTAAACTGATTATATTTACTGAACTGTTTCTAAAGATCTTGTGGCAGTGTAGGTTTTCTGGGGCAAGTTATCTGTAAAAAAACAGGAGGGCAAAATATTCAATCAACTTTCAAACTGTCTAACATGTCGTGAAGCATTTTTCCTTCTAGATATTTGTATGGGGGGGATACAAATGGAGAGTGAATCATAATGGTTGAGAACTGAAATATGATTTGCAGCAATAAAATTTTTCGTAATTCTATTTTTGAACCAGGTGGAGAACTTCACAGTATCCTTCTCAGATGGAAGAGTATTGTGTTATTTGATTCATCATTATCATCCATGTTATGTACCTTTGGAAGCCATTTGTCAGCGTACAACCCAAACAGTAGAATGCACCAAAAGTGGTACATTGGCACTGAATTTTTCCTCTGAGTCTGATGATTCCCTGAGTCTGCTGAATGAAACTTTTGGCCAAGGTAAGTTTGTTAAATGTTGCTTCTAAGAAATGTGATGCCTCTTTTATCTGATTTAACAAATACAATCCTTTTGCTCCCCAATGCAGCTGTAACCACTTCAGCACTCTATAAAGAGCTCCTTGACAATGAGAAAAAAAACTTCCAGCTGATTAATGCTGCTGTTTCTGACCTTGGTGGTGTTCCAGCTATGATTCACCATGCAGATATGTCTAACACAATACCTGATGAGAAGGTAATGAGCACATGTTTGAAATTCATTATCACTTCTTTCCGTTGTAAAAATACTAAGGGCCTGTATATTTCTGCTCTCTTCTCTAGATGGTTATCACCTACGTGTCATTTCTGTGTTCACGGCTTCTAGATCTTTGTAAAGAGATCCGAGCAGCTCGACTTATTCAGTCTGCATGGAGGAAACACATGCTGAAGAAAAAACTTGCTCAGGTACTTTTCAGGTGCTTTTGGATTTTTGCCTTCAATTAGCAGCAGAAAGGAGAGGTTCAGTTTACCATGGAATTTTCTCTCTTACTAGAACATCAAGCAAACCTGCAATGCAGCCGTTGAAATTCAGAAACATTGGAGAAGGTATTTGGCTCAGAAGGAACTTCAGA